GATCTATTGTTTGGCTGATGGTCCTCTTTTTCATGTGACCAACCTGTTTGTCCACCATGTGGAGGCGGAGCTTATAAGGCTGAGTTCACCTGAAACTCCTCAGACTGAAGAAGTCTCTTGGASGAGAGACGAAGCGTTTCTTTAAAGAAGAACCATCCAGAGGAACTACTTTGTTTTTCCCACCTGGATTACTGATGCATCAGGACGTAATCATGAATTAAACCAAGACGTTGGCTTCCTCTTATCGAATGCTTTCTTTTTCAGAGGAGCAATTTGATCAAGTGGGGTTTGCATTAAAGCTGTAATATTATCAATAAGATCATCCAGGTTACTGCTCTCTGTTATTCTGTAAGAAGCGTTCTCTGATAAACATCTATTATAATGAAATTTACTCTCAGTAGCTGTGTAGTCAGTTAATGTAAACTCAAAGGTTGTTAATAAATGGTCAGAGTGAACAGGATTGTGAAGATGTATTATTAAATTCTTACTCTCTATAACATTTGTCAGAACCAGATCAAGAGTGTGATGAAGAGAATGAGTCGATTTGTGGACATTTTGAATAAAACCAATTGATTCTATCAAATTACTAAYAGCTTTGTTTAAGGTATAACTTACATCATCTACATTAAAATCTCCCAATATTATTACTTTATTAGTATTCAATAATAAGTCAGACAGAAAACCTGAGAATTCAGATAAAACTGAGAATAAGGGCCTGGTGGATGATAAGTTRTTTTTTTATTTCCATTTTGGATGAGAAAGGCTGATTGTGTGACTTTTGGAGAAAATAAACCTTTTTTTTCACAGTCAGTATGAGAGTGAATGCAGGCTGCATGAGATGGAGAGAGAGTCTTGGTGTTCTCCCAAACTTTTTCACTTGTCTGCACTTTCCTTTTGTGTTTTCTTTCTAACTCAACAAGTATAGTGTGAGTGCCTCCTCCTCTTAGAATCCATGGCTGTGGCCTTCACATCATCAAATTTAGCTTTTAATTCAGTTAACCTGTGTTAACTTATCACCAAAGAAAAGGTGGAACAAAGGGGAAACGGCTTATCTTTAATTTACTACATGAAAATACTGGATTATTTCATAAAACAAACAAAAAAATGTTATGTGATAAATATAAACTTAAGATTTTCCACATTTTTTTCTTCATATTTCATGAAAAATATATATATTTGAACAGGAAATCCAAGTCAGTGATCGGTTCTTGTCTGGGTTTTCTAAAAAAGTGATCCAGGATCAATAAATAAATCAGCTCTGAGACTGACTCTTTAGATTTGGTTCTTAAAGTCGGACTCGGACGCTCTGGAGTCGGGTCTGGCTCTGTTGTTCTTGTGGTTCAGGTTCAGTACGGGTCCGTGTGTKTTAGACTCAGTGGTGGGATGTAACTAAGTACAAGTACTTTGTTACTGTGCTTAAGTACATTTTTCATGTATCTGTACTTTACGTAAGTAGATTTCATCATGGGTACTTTTTACTTTTACTCCACTACTTTTCTGTAATGTGTTGAATTACAAATTACATTCATGTCACGTCGCATTACATTTGTTTT